GAAATATAACTAGAATATTCTTTAAAAGCTAGGATGGCGAGACCTCAACTGACTTACTTTGGATACCTCATTGGGAAAACGAACCATCACTAGAAAAGGACATCATGTTTGGTAAAGTGGGTGGCCAATGAAAACGAGGGAGACTCTCCAGAGATGGAATGACGCAATAGCCACAACAATGGACTCAAACATACCAGCTATCGTGAAAATGGCGCAGGACCAGGCACTGTTTCATTCCGTTATACACAAGGTCCACATGGGTCAGAGCTGACTCAATGCCAACTAATAACAGCAACAGCAACAAAGAGTAAGCATTACAAACTTAGCTCCAGCAGATTATTGCCAGGTGAGAACTCAGGAGGAACTGAAAATTCAGAATTTGATTCGAAATTTCCAAATATTAAAAACTGACATCTAATTCAAAGGGTTTATCAACACTAGACAGATTCAAAGGAAACATACATGCAGGTCAAGTCTGCTGTGGGCTGCAGTTTCTGACCTGGGACATGTTCCACCTGGATCAGAACCGGCTTAGAGAATCATAGTCTGAGGGCTCAGAAGCTTCCTGTGGTTGGTGCCTGGCGCTCCGATGGGTGGGCCTTACTCTTTCTTCTGCTTTCTTCCTCCCTCCACCTTCTAGCTCTACCTTTTGCCTTTCTCTAATTGTCTTTTCTTTTTTTCTCATGAAGTCTTCCAAAATTTCAATGTGGATTTCATTCACCATATATTTTCTCATCAAATACACACACACACAAACCACACACCCCACACACACACCCCACACACACACTCACACACACATACACACTGCTCATGATCACACACATTCTAAAGACAATCCTTTGAGGTATGCTTATGAATATCCAACCCACGTATACTGAGTCATCTCCCCGGTGTGAGATACAAAGTAGAACTATGAGTAGCACATAGTCCCTGGTGTTGAGGGGTCATAGAGTAATCCAGGACACAGGGGTCCATGGAGAAATGATGATACACCTCAAAAGCTATTGTTAGAAAGACATCTTCTCTGTGTTGGGGGAGGAGGCATGAACTCCATTCAGGGAGACTGGAAAAGGCATCACATGGGGCAAGGGAAGGGGCACCTTTGGCTTGGTTTTGGAAGAAAGAGTACAGAAAGGGAGACGCAAAGGCTCGGAGGCTCTTCCAGACAGAGGGAGAAGCTGACATGCACAGGAGCGTGGAGTGGGGTAGTCATGAGAGGTCATCATTGGGCCGTGGGGGCAACGAGTGTGACTCCCACAGCAGTATAACCTCACAGACGCATTCTCTTGGCCAGGTGGGTTGTGAGAGGTAGTCTCAGGTTTCTGAGACTTGGGCAGTCTTAAGTTATCTAGTGCTGCTGTAACAGAAATACCACAAGTGGATGGCTTTAACAAACAGAATTTCATTCTGTCACAGTCTAGGAGGCCAGAAGTCCAAATTCAAGGCGCCAGCTCTAGGGGAACTCTTTCTGTCTGTGTCAGTTCTGGAGAAAGATCCTCGTCATCAATCTTCCCCTGGTCTAGGAGCTTCTCAGCACAAGGACCCCAGGTCCAAAGGACGCAGTCCACTCCCAGCTCTTTTTCTTGGTAGTATGAGGTCCCTCTCTTCTCTCTTTTATATCTCCAAAGAGATTGACTCAAGATACAACCTAATCTTGTAGACTGAGTCCTGCCTCATTAACATAACTGCCTCTAACACTGCCTCATTAACATCATAGAGATGAGGATTTACAACACATAGGAAAATCACATCAGATCACAAAATGGTGGACAACCATACAATATTGAGAATCACGGCCTAGCCAAGTTGACACATATTTTGGGGGGACACAATTCAATCTGTAACAGGTACTATATTCATAAAAATGAATTTGTCCACAACTTCCATCTGAGGATTCTCACTGCTTGAGCGATGGTCTCTTTTTATTTTGGTTGTGGGTAGTAAGGCTGAGATAAGGCCACCTCAAGATGGCTACAGTTTCTAAAAGACGTGCCTTTGGGCAGTAGCAGCCATTGTAGGTAATTCTAATTAGGATATCTTTTGTCAGGTTTGTTGCACTCTGGTCTACCCGAGTCACAGCAGGAAAATTACTTTTGGATTTCAATTATGCAAACCTATGCATCATGACAGAGGCAAATTCTGCTTTGTAGCTTTACTTTGCTCAAACTTGTCCTTTCGTTCAGCTTTCCCTCGGCTTGTCTGAATGTAAAATGAGACCAGCTGTGGGGGCAGCCAGCACCCAGCACGCACAAATCCAAAAACCAGCCCTGGAGCTAGGGAGGTGGTGCCTATGTATGTCTGCGGAGATGTTCGGCAGCTGCACTGCAGCCTGGTGCCTGGAGTGGCTGGTCACCTGGCCTCCTGGCTGGGGAGGAAAACGCTGCCATGGCAACTGCCAGCGGCAGAGGAGGTCACAGAGGAAACGAAATAGAAAGCAGCAACAGCAGCGTTAAGAATGGCAATCAAGAAAGCAACAGCAAAATGCACCACCAGAAAATTATGGCTACACCAAAAAGGTTGTCGAGATGGGACAGGGTTAGAAAAGCAGATTAACGGGAAAGGAGAAGATGTGTGTGGAGTCAAAGATGACATGTGAGGAGAAGGATGGGGGCAGCTTCTTCCTCCTAAATATGCTGCATCGTGAAACTCCACAAAGCCAGAGGGTTATTTTAGTAAGCACTGGGTAGTGCAAATAATTAATACGTTCAGCTGCTAACCGAAAGTTTGGAGCTTTGAGTCCACCCAGAGACACCCCAGAAGAAAGGCTGGTGATCTTCTTCCAAAAAATCAGCCATTGAAAACGCTATGGATATACATGTAGAAATTGTGGAATTGGTATATGTTTTTGTTATGTATGTTTTCACACAATTCAAAAAAAAAGAAAAAACTCCGGAGCACAGTTCTACTCTGACACACACGGGATTGCCATGAGTTGGAGTCAACGTGACACCAACTGTTTTTTTTAGAGGGTTATTATTATTTTAATTATTTACATAAGAGTCTGGTTTTGCAGAAGCATATAAACACTCATTTTCGACTCATATCCGAGGAATGCAGAGAACTTTTAGAGTTTGGATTTTTTTTTTCAACTATTAAATATGTTTGTGGTAAGGAAGAGAAAAGCATCATTTTGTTCACTTTACATATGAGAAGCAATACACAGTGTAACCAAGCTTCAGAAACGGGGTCACCCTCAGACTTTTAAGTATCAAACCATCCTATCACCTGTTCTTGAAAATAATTTTGAAGGATTGATGCATTCCAGTATTGAGATATAGGCACTTTTTTTGTAGTTCAGGGAGAATTGTAAATTGTAACATATTTCCTTGAGGGAAATATTGGCTACGTATATCAAAGACTTATAATTTTGTATTTGCTGTAATCCAGCAATCCTATTTCTTAGAGTTTAACATAAAATAATCTTGGA